GGAGGCACCGGACAGCGAACACGAAGATCAGCTCAATAAGGAAAAGGAATCATTTGAAATAAACCCCGAAAGATCTTCGAAGAAAACTAGTGACGAGGAGAAAGCGACGACTTCCGAAAATTTAGGCAGCAAAGCGGAATTAACGACTTCCGAGAACCGGAGAAATGAAGACGAGCGAGACGATTCCCGGAAGAGAAGCGTCGAGCGAGAGAATAATGGACAGGCCGCAGCGCACGAAGAAATCACGGGGCGACACGTGAGAAACAATAGGCCAGAGCTCGATACAGACGTGATCATACCCATTGAAAAGATGACAAAGGGGAAAACGAGGCGATCAGTCGCAAACGATCCGGTGAACGAAGCGAAGCGAATTAACGCAAAGCACCGCGAGCTAGAGATCAAAGGCGATAGTGACAGAAAGGATATAGTGAACGAAGAGAAGCAGACGGGTGACGAGAGAAAGATGGAGTGGAGCAAGCTGCGTGACAGAGAGATCGAGGTGGCGCGAGAACTCCAGGAGTTCACGCGCCGAGCAGTGGACAGGAGGGCGCGAGAGGCGCGGCTGAGGCAGGCGGAGGTGCTGCTAGAAACACTACGAGCGAAAGAAACGCAGCGAAGAGTGACGGAGAACGGCGGAGGAGGCGCTGGACAACGCCTAAAACGCGCGATGGCAGAGTGGAGCGTCGCAGCGAGGAGGCAAAGAAGCTTCACGGAGGTGGTCAATTTGGAGGACGCGCAGGGAAGCCGAATGGCCCAGATGAACATACAGGTGACAGTTACGGAGTTGGGAGAGATAGACTCGGGACAAGAGTACGAGGTGTCCTTTAAGTGGGTCGACGGGAAGGTGACCAAGACGGAGGCCAGACTCGCGGCAAGAGAGGGCAGTGCGGACGGAGCGGTAGAGGAGACCGACCCCCTGCTAAGCCAAACCGCCGCGGAGAACAGCCCCCGAGCGCCGGGCGATGGCGAGCACCAAACAAAATGGCCACCGGAGTGCGAACTCATGAGCGAACCAGAAGGAGCCGACCAAACAGAGGCAGCGCGAGAGGGCATCAGCCACACCAGCGCCGAGGGCGGATCTGTGCCACGGACCTCGCGCCATTGCGTAGCAGAAAACCAGGTGCCGGACGAGTTTCTGCACGTGCTAATACCCAATCTGCCCACGGAGGAGGACGTACCTCCGCAGGGGCCACAGGGCATAGAGTTTGAGGTGGATAGCGACAACTCGCTAGCATACGAGATACGAAGGGAGGTGAACCGAAGGAGGGCCTTCAAGGAGGCTGAGGAGACGCCGCAGCAGGCGGAGGCGAGGGAGCGCCTGAATCGCGCGCTCGACGCCACGCTGCGTGGCAGGAGGTGGGGGACCTCAGTCCACCCTGTCGGAGGCGGTGGCAAAAAGACGGAGCAACTTCCGATCCGAAGCGTCCACCAGCGAGAACGAGGGGGCCAACGCGGACAACCCCCGCAGCACAGCAATCTGTGCGCTAACTATTGAGGAGGAAGAGGAGAACCAGGGGACGAGCGCGGCTCAAAGGAGGAAGGCATTTAGGGAGAATAAGAGCGGAGCTAAGCGGGCGCATAGGCAACAGAGTCGGAGCCAAGCAGGCCGGTTCACAGCGAAGAAGAAGGGATAGAAGCAACCAGGAACCAACTAGTAAAATCAGTAATGCCGCAAGCGGCATAACTGATTTAGGGAGGAGCATGCGACCAAGTCCAGGACCCGTCCGCGGCTCCAAGTCGCACACAAGGGGACGACGAAAAACGGACAGCCACCGAGAATCGAAGGGGCGGCGGATTAATTTTAAGCAGATTATGTAGAATTAAATAAAAAAAACAAAAGAAAAAAAAAGAGTATGTATATATAATAGCATAAGCGGGGTGAAGGGTAAATTAAGTTATAGATATAAGACGCGGCCATGAGCCACAGCGATATAGGCGAGAAGTCAAAACCGCGCGGCGGAGGCGCGGGGAAAGGAGTGAGCGACATCGGGGGCATAGGCAGAAGACCGGCGGGCCGAACCAGAAACCATGGACACCCACCGTGGGGAAAGCGGACGACCCACGACCAAGGGGCCGAGGACAGGACATAGGAGAGGCACCAAAGGAGGCGGCCACGGCGAGATATCCGCGAATTTGCAGCTGGAAGCCAGGCCGATACCCGGAGTAAGACCAGCGCACAGAGAAAGAGGAAGCAAAAGGATCGCGAGCGAACTTGATACTTGGACACCCGCCAGACGAGATCGAGACCAAAAACGGAAAATCGGCGACCGTAGGCGGATGGGCGGAGGTCAACTCGAGTCGGCTACGGAGGAAGATCTGAAAAAACCAGCACGCCGGAAGCAGGAGGCAAGGGACAAGTAAACGGGCACCCGAGAGGCGCCAGGGTCCCACGTACGAGCGCGACGCAGCAGACCGGTCGAGAAGGGGAAACCCACCGAAGGTATGAGAGGCGGGAGCAGAGGAGCAGTCGGGGCAGTCACGCCGAGAGAGTCAGTCAGTCAGTCAGTCCGAGGCAGTCTAGCCGGAAAGAGAGTCGCGATCGGAGCCGAGTGATGGCCGAAGTCGAGAAGATGCAGCCGTAGCCGAAACCGAAGAGTCGTAGTGAAACCGAGTAGTCGAAATGAACTAGTCGAAGCCGGTTCCGCGATCGGGAGGCCGGATGCGAGTTGATAAGCGTAAAGGGAGTGCGGGAAACGGCGATGATCAGATGTACGCGATCGGGGATCACCGTCCAATAATGTACGACATGAAAGCTTTCGCAGAATAAAGTACCATTGTTATCAGAATCAAAACTGAACAGTGATTAAGACCTGTCCCATAATCTCCCGAGGACATAGGCGCCACCTCCTGCACGGGCGAGGTGAGGATTACGGCGCAACCACAAAGTTCGAGGAGAGAATCGGCAGGGTATCCTTCGTTCTTGGAGGAAAAAGAACGTGGCGACCGTAGGACGAAGAATTAGGAAGGACAACCGAATGTCCCGAAACGAGCGATTCCGGTGACAACATTCGCATGTCCACTATTCTCCACGAGTGCCATAACCTTTTTTATCACAAAATTCTCTTTTGAGAAATAGTCACCGTGGAATCGCATGAAATATTTTTCAACGATTTTGGTCATGTTTAGGAGTTCTGCTGAAGGATTGGTAATATAACCTTTGGAGATAGTGTCAATCCATTGTGATGTGGTTCCACCTGCATCTTCAGTAGTCCCTAGAAATGGATATTTCGCTTTAAATTTATGAGCGACATATCCTGCAACATATTCCAACCCCGCTTCTTGAACAAGATTTAAGCAGTCAAATGTGCCCTTAAAACTATCTTCCACTATGTCAAATAGTTCGTCATCATTGAAGCAAGCGTCAATCGTTGATTCATTATCATTATCATCATAATTACTTTCTTCTAATTCGTCCAGAGAAATATTAATAATGTTGGAGAATAATTCTTTAGTTGAACTATTTCGTCGGCGCATTCTTCTGTATGTTCGAGCTTCTTTTTCTCTTGTAAAAAGCTGTCATTTGATTTCGAAGCAGGTATCATTTCTCGAATTGGCGTAGATGTCAGCATATTTGCTTGTGATCAAAGTCATTGGAGTTGCCGAAATCGTCGATTTTTTAGCACTTTGATCGCTAGTAGAAGAAGACATACAAATAGTATCCATGTCTTCTTCGGTGTTTCTGTTTAAAGTAAACACAGCTTGCGAGTGCTTACCGAGAATGTACCAGTGAAGTCTATATTTAAAGTCGTATGGTGAGGGATGATCCTTGGACGCACCCATCGCCCTTAAATAAGCGAAGAAATTTTCCAGAATGTCCTGTTGAAGTCTTCTCGTGATGATATACTGGCATTCTACTGGATATTTTGTTTGTAGATACTGGAACAATGCTCGTAGAGATCGATTGCTGACAAGAATACCTTTTTGAAAAGGCATTAATGTCTTTCTGTAATCAACTCGCATGTTTTCGATATATGTGTTCATCAACAGTAAAATTGACTCTTGTGTCTCCAAATCTTGTCCATAACCATTAATTCCTGGATCCGTACCTCAATTTTGAATTGTGCACATCAAACCACTTGTTGACTGTCAACACGAAATCTGAAAATCTCTCGTATTCCAAAAATTTCAAAAGCCCATGTTCGCCAGCCCACTGGATCGCTTTAGCAGCTGTAGGCGACCAAATTCTTGCTGCTGTTTTAACTGATTGACGTTGCGAACCATGAATATCTAACAATTGCTGAGTAATACGATGAGCGACACATAGATCGCCAACTTTGCTCATATCGGCGAGTGTCTGGAAGACTTCACGAGTAAACCGTTCTTTGCTATTTCCTAGCAATAGTCCATCGTCAAAGAACCAATTTCTCAAGAGTTTCAGCAGATGTGGAACATCAGCGAAAATGAATATTTTTTCCTCTTTGTTCACAGGATGGTGGAAAAAGTATTGTATTTATTAGGGCTAATGTCCAATTCTCTCCAGACTCCTGGGTTAACAATGTCCGAAACTGTGGCGATGACTTGATAATCAGCACTGTACAAGAGTGTTATGGCTTCCAGTAAAATGCACTTGTTCATTGGCTGGTCAAATTTATAATAAATTGGTTGTTTCCAATTGCTAAACAAACCGCGAAATGATGACTTGAACTTTTCCATGTGGGCCAATCAATTTTTCGAGTTTAGCATCGAAATTAACTTCTGAAGAGACGGCCATTTCGTCGAAACTGAGAACAGCAAGTTTCTCTAGCGACGACAGTTCCTTGTCTTTCTCTCGCATTAAAGTTAGAACATCAGTTAAAAATCCTTCTTCGATATATGGAACTTTTTTAGTGCCCATCTTCATGACCCTAATGATGGCAAAGGGTAATACAATTTCGTTAGAAGATAGCGGTAAGCTTTAGGACTTACACTCCGTAACGAAATGGCTGCAGCATAGTCATAAATGGACCACTGAATCCATTTTTTCTTTTTCAAAATGCACCGAATTTGTCCTTCTGTAAAGTACGGTTTTAACACTTCTGTGATGTATTTTTTTCTGTCGTTTTAAAGAGTCGCAGTAGTGATCGTCGATTGTGCTCGATTGTTAATCAATTGAAGCATTTGTTCTTTTTCAGCAGATATCTTTTTCAATTGTTCGTCTTTCTCTTGCAATTGTTGCTTCAATGCCTCTAGTTCGGCCGATATTTGCATTGCGAAATCTGTATACGAGGGGCACTATTTATATTTTGAGCCTAATAATAAAAAAACAGTAATTTGTCATTGAAAATGACTTTATTGTTTTTCAAAATATTCTCCTTTATGATCTATACACTTTTGCATGCGTTCGAACCACTTGTTTGCACCAATCGACACGAGCATCTTTTTGAGATTTTGTCAGATTATGTGGGATCCAACGAGAACAAACCTTTTTCACGGCTAAATGATCATGCAATATTTTATATATGCTGGTGGAACTAATGCCTAAGGTTGTCTCAATCTCACAGTATGTCACATGACGATCTTGCATTATTAGTTTTTGCACAGCATCAATGTTTTCTGACACAACAACTGATTTTGGACGACCTTCACGACCTTCGTCGGTGAGCGAACGGCGACCACGATTAAATTCGTTATACCAGCGTTTCACAGTGGCAAAGGATGGGGCTTTATCGCCAAAAATGGAAGTAAGTTGATCGATGCACTCCTGTCTTGATAATCCATGTCGAAAGTTGTAATAAATCATTGCACGAAAATTTTCACGAGTTAATTCCATTTTTTCGCTGAGACACAATTTTCAAGTGACTGTAAACAATACAAATCGCGCTCAAATAACAAAACGTTCTGAAGAAGGTTATGGTCAAAAATGTCAAACTTTCTAGTGGAAACGTCAGATGGCACCTGACAACACTCATTGTCAGTGTTGCCAAGACTCAAAATATAAGTAGTGCCCCTCGTATTTTGATTGCATGTTAAATTCATGCAGTGAATGATAATGCTGCAGGTCTGCCTTAAAGGACATCATATTTGCTTTTAAATCGTACATTTCGGTTGGTTTTGAGCCACTGCTATTGATGTCATTATAGTTCTCTATCAAAAATCTGGAAAAACATCATATAATTTATGGTATTTAGCATAAAAATTGGAATAAAGCAATATATAACATTTTTGTTGGAATTACACTTTTTTAACTTTTAATAATATAAACACATTCATACATATAATTGAAACATTTTTTCCAAATTTACTATTATTAAATTTTGAAATACATTAACATATATTTATATTATTGTAAAAATTAAAATAAATATAATTCCAACAAAAATTTAATATAATAGAGTGTATAGTAGTGCATTTCACGAGAAAATGTTTTTCATATTCCTGACACGAAATATAAAAATGTGAAAAAATAAGTACCGTTGTCTACGTATTTACAAAGAGGTAGTTTCCATGCTCACGGTTCCTTCTGGGATAACATTTTTATTTAAATGCGCCTTGCGTTGTTTGTACTTTCTTGGAGCGTTTGTTTTCCTGTGGTATATGGCTCAAATCTGTTAAAAAAATCAGTAACAGTTGTACTTATTGTAACGTATAATAAATCAACCTAACTAAGACTCCTTGTAAATCAAAAACAATGAAAGAACAAGGGCAGTAGGAGTCAAGCGCGGGAGATGTTGCGCAAATAACACGACTATCGTAGCGTGAAACTTCTTTATTTTACTAAAGTGCTTACATGTTTCGGCTCATTTTTGAGCCTTCTTCAGAGATAACTAATAAATTCACATACATAGAATATAACAATTATTAACTAGTCATGGTGATCTTCCTCACCTCGAGAGTATAAATACCAGAATTAAATCCAGATAAGAATGCAGTAAAAAAGAAAAAAAAGGGGGAAAGAAATTTTGAAATTCTCGAAATAAAGAAAATGTAAAACTAATGTATCAAAAAATTTTTTAAATTATAATTAATTATTCCGATGGTTAGGGAGCTCACCTTGATCACAAGATACCGCATCGCAAACATTACTCTTAATACTTCAAAAACCGGTTTCTGATAAGTTGGCCAGTCAGTGTCAGACACAGTTAGTCTCTTATTGAT